CCCTGGAGCGAGTCTCGCGCATCTCGTCCTGTCCCGCCCCCCCCCCCCCAAAGAACAACGAATTTCGATTCCGGAGAGGGGCAGGAACGCAGAATAAACTTTGACACTCTACTTAACATCCGCGAGGTCCCCGGCGGCTGTCGGTTTAAAGCTCGTGTCTGTTTTCCACGGGAACTTCCCAGCCATTTGTAACAACCGGCGACACGTTCGCGAGCGGAATTGCCATTTGTCGAATTCCGCGTGACGGATGAATATTATCGCGACACGACGAACACGCTTCGAGCAACAGCTGAACTTCTGCCCGCCGAGCCATACAGGGAACAAGGGAGAAGAATTTCTCGGATCAAGTTTCGCGAATTCCGTTCCGCGAAGTTTTAATCAGAGCGGTGCGTTCTTGGGACGCTTGATACGCGCTGGAAGCATCGTAGAAGCAATATAAAGCACCGCGATAAGTTGAACGTGGACTTAACAGGAATGCTTGAGTCCGCCGCGGCTTTGGGGGGGAAAACGAATCGATATGTCTGGCTAAGTGGAAAGTTCGCTGTTAGGGGAGAAAGAAGGGATCTTTCTTCTGATCAGGACGAAAGTTGGCGAAGTTGATTCAAGAGGAACGACGTAGCGATGAAGTGAGTGGTCGATGTTTAAGGTGATTCCTCTGGAAGCTTAACGCATCGGACGAGCTGATTCGCTATGAAATGATGTTAGATACACGTGGTATCGGCGATTAGACTGTGGATCTACAAGTTGGGACGCTCTCTGTCCCAAAACTAACCGGAGTGGCTTTAAAAATGATAGGACTCGTTAAACAATCTTGACGTAATCATTTTGTGTATTCAAGATATTCTCCATCAGCCGAAATACGACGACTTGCACGTTCAAAAGGTGCGTCGAATGACCTTTTTAGGGCCGTGATTGCTCCAGACATTTATTTTAATGTACAGGTTCATATATGTACGTTTAATATGTTCATTAAAATATACGAAATGGATTAATTTTAATTTTTTTTTTTAACGACGAAAGCACAAATGATCATTGGTACTATTGAAAAATAGGTAGATAGACCATGTAACCTTTGCAAGACGAAAGTTTTTGCTCGGGAACAATCGTCTCCCGTGGCCAGAGAAATTAATTGACGAGGTTAATCGCACGGGAGGTTAGCGGTGGGTGCGGTATGTAATACCAGCTTAGAGTCGCGCAATCCGGGTTCGAGGCAAAACCGACGTGGAACTTTTTAATTAAGCCAATCAATCCGTCTAATTGCGCTGCTCGAGATTCGTCGTAACGCGGGAATGAAGAACAAAATTCTCTGGAATTCGTACCAACTAACGAGTATTACCACCGAATTGTTCGTGCTGTTATTTCGTTTTTTTGGTAGGTTTAACAACAAGTTATTTAAAGTGGGTAGATTGAGACCAAATGGAGATAAATATTTCGTATATGGAATTTCTTGTTTAAAGCAAGTTAATTTATCGATCAAGGAGTTTGCTTTCATTTATGAAACTACTTCTACATTGAATTTTTCTTATAATCAATTAGTTTCCAAGTTTAGAAAAGTTAAGGTAAAATTAAGGTTCGAGGTAAGGTAAGGAATAAATGAAGAAATAAACATACGTACATAGAATTAATATTACTTTCGTTAATAGGACAAGGTATATTCGTCAATTTTCACAGAATATAGCATGCTATATCGTTAGTATGTACGAAGCAAAGACTAGATGGATTTAATTTCGTTTGTATCTTAGATATCTCGTCGACTACTTAAAAATTAAACCACTCAAAGTACCGCTTGGAATCATTCAACACTTACCAGAAGATCTATTCATTTCGATATCGATATATTCAAGTAACTGTGATTTTCATCTGTGATTCATTTAATAACCTCGAATAACCTTGAATGCCCTCCATTCCTGGAGCTGGGTAAGAAAAACGGATCCTCACACCTCTACAAAGAAACTACCGACATCCTCCCACGATAAATCGAGTACAACTTCCCAGAACCGTTCCTGTGCATCGCTAAAAGTAAACGAGTTACTCAGCTGACGCCTATTAAATCCCTTCCCTTTTAACCCCGTACGAAACAAGTCACGCTACGTCGAGCTAACCGTCAATCCGCGAAATCATATACCTAGCTAAACGAGAGGATTTATCTCTTGCCGCCGCCCCTCTCTCCGCCTCCGTCACTGGAAACGACCACCATAAAACTCAGCATTTAAGCAAGGGTCTGCTCCGACGGAGAATGGCGTCGAGTGGTCCATTACAAGTTCACGGCAAGGCGTCGATAGTCGTTATCTCTCGGCCCGTTCCTTTTTCCGTTCCTTTTTCGGCCTCTCTTTTCACTGGGAGCCCCGATCGAAGTCCTCCACCCCGACGTCGAAATCCAGGGGTCGAAAGGACTTTGCCAGGCTCCCTCCACAGCCCTCCCCATCCTGCCAACCCCCCCGAAGCCTGGCGCTTTTCGTTCCCGTAATTAGTCTGCTCTCCAGCGAAGGATGCTTTTCCTTGGACCGCAGCCGAGCAATCTCTTCATAATTCCCGCGGTCTTATCTCGGATGTTTCTTCGCGAGCAAACAGATCTCGGATGGAGTGGGGAACTCTTCCGTGATAAAATTAAGGGGTAGCAGTTCGTTAAGGGGCTCGCGGGACCCTTCCCAGCCGAAGGTTCGTCGACTGTGGCAAGTCGAGAGGTGCATTACGATGTTTGCCCATCCTCGCCGCGATGGCGGATATTGTGCCCGGGCTTCGATGGAGGGCTTCCCAGCCACTTTGCTCTTCGGTCGAGACGCTCGTTTAAGGATATCGTGTTCTAGGGCTCCGCGGAACATCGCTTGGCACGTGGTGGATTTCTTCTGGGTCGAGCTGCCAAGAGAACATCGTCGACTCTCGAGCAGTCCGTCTCAAGTTGTCCGTCTTGAGAGTTTCTATTTCGAAAGAGAAATTTTGCTGTTTGTCGGAGCTGTGTGTTTCAGTCATGCTTGTGTAATTTAACATCTTCAGTAATCATTAAGAAATTAAAATTGGACAAATAGCAATAGGAATGGCAATAGGAATTTGTTGTGTCAAGTGTGTTTTGAATACTTTTTATTAGCTGCAGGGTAACCTGTGTTATCTAGCGAGTATTCAATATCACCGAGTTTTACCGAGCGAGTGATCTGGTATATCTTACCACCAGAAGGGGTTCTGTATTATCGAGTCTTACCGACTGAACGCCCTGTATTACCAAGTTTTACCGACTAAAAGTTCTACATTACCACTCCTTACCAACGGAGTGCCCTGTATTATCAACCCTTTCCGACTGAACGCTTTACACTACCAACTCTTATCAACGGAGTGCCCTGTATTATCAACCCTTACCGACTGAACGCCTTACACTACCAACTCTTATCGACCGAGTTCTCTACATTTCCAAGCTTTACCAAAAAGTGAAAACTGTTGGTAGAAACCTTTCTCCGTACAAATTTCCATACAAAAATCTGAAACACCGACAAAGTAACAATTATGTCTAACCTTGCGCACTCCCCAGACGTTTAGAGCAGTTATCAGCTGTCGAGCGAGACACGGAAGTTACCAGAGTGACCCGGCTTTCCGAGATTCATCGCATTGCTTCCGCATCGCGATTCAATAAACCGGAAGAACAAACGGATGAAACAAATAGCCTCCCGCGACGCTTACAACTTTTCCCATTTCCCCTCTTCAATCATCCAAGCATCGCTTTCGCGGGAATTCCCCGTTTTTCGCACGAATACTGTTTTTACACCGATTAGCTCAGCGCGCCTCTTACAAAGACGCAACGTCCCTCGGCGTGATGGGTCGCGATAAAGAGAATTCCGTGGATGGTTCGTCCGAAACTACTGTCCGTTTTTACACCATCAACGATCGTTAATTAACAAGGAAGAAGATCTTGACCGTGACAGGGAACAACGATCGCTGTCTTTTTCCTCCGTAATTACTATGATCTACTATATCTTACCATCAGAGTATTCTGCATTATCGAGCCTTACCGACTGAACGCCCTATATTACAAAGTTTTACCGAGTAGAAGTTCTACGTTACCATACCTTACCAACGGAGTGTCCTGTATTATCGAGCCTTACCGACTGAACGCCCTATATTACAAAGTTTTACCGAGTAGAAGTTCTACGTTACCATACCTTACCAACGGAGTGTCCTGTATTATCGAGCCTTACCGACTGAACGCTCTATATTACGAAGTTTTACCGAGTAGAAGTTCTACGTTACCATACCTTACCAACGGAGTGTCCTGTATTATCAAGCCTTACCGACCGAATGTCCTACATTAACAATTCTCACCAAGTCAGCTAATTTGCCTACGTTGTCATCGACAGAAAATAATCGGTCGGTCTGAGATATTATCTGCTAAAATAGTAAACTCTAACTGGCGAGTCCACAAACGAATCCATGACGAACACCATGATTCTGTAGAGTGCTCCTCGACGCCGACCAAAGAAAAATTGCATTCGTTTATTGAAATTGAAAATTAATTAAATACAGACTCACTAAAGCATTCATTCCTTTCGTTTAATGTTACAATACGTAAGTTGCCCTTTCAATTTAATTAGTTACTTATTTTACTACACGGACCTCGATCGTTGCAAACATATTTTAGTCTCCAACTCCTGCAAACGATCGAGGCACCTCTCGAACTTTCTTCGAAAACCATTTTCGAATCAGCCTGCAGATACGTGCACTCTATCTCGATTCTCGAGGCGACAAAACGCTTCGAAAGTCGCGAGTTTCTGGAAAATGACACGCGTGTCCGACGGAATTCTTCGTCGGCCAAAGCCTCGAGGAAATTTAATCCCTCGCGTCGAACCGTGTCTTCGTCTCAGGACGAGTTGGCTGCACTTTAATCTGAAATCGGGTTCCAGCCGACGACGCTTTTAAGCTCTCGTTGTCGGGGAAAGGGAGGGAGGAGGGTGTGGAGGGAGCGTAACTTTTCGGAAAGCCCTCACGAACTTTGCCCCCCATGGGCTGTGTTGCAGCTCTCCGCCATCGTCGATGGGATTTACGCGGAGCACGGACACACTGCGGGCTCGTTCACACATTTTGCGAGCGATCGACTGCTGGTGGGCGGAGGCGCCGACGCCAGGTCCCTGCAGGGCGCCAAAGGGATCAACAACTTCGTTGGATGCCTCAGAAAGGTGAGACCCGATCCAGGATCGATGTGATCCACTTTGCGACTTATTCCGGCGGCGCGGCACCGGGAGCGGCCGATCAGTACCTCCACGAGGCGTCGATGCAAAGCGCTTAGGGGAACGTGTTTTGCAGGTGTCGTGATAGCTCAGGCTGAGGAAACTTGCTGTAAAAAGGGATCGGAGCATGTACCAGCACTGGAAATTTTATGGAATTTTTATAGTCGAATTTTTAGCGATTCTTGAGCCACGATTTCTGTGGTCGCTTGACATTTTGCGTCAATTATGGAAGGTGAATTTATGCATAAATTGTTCGGGAACGCACTTTCATTCGAAGTTTTCTACCCAAATAGCATGGAAAAGTAAATTAAAATATAGTATTATTTAGAATAAAATATATGTAGGAAGCATTAGCTGATTAAATTCGTATCTCTAAATCATAATTCAGGAAAGATAAATTGGAGGCTTCATTTTATGTAAAATCTTCACAAATTACTGTGCTTTTATGGAAGACTTTTGCAAAGGCATAATGTTGCGAGATTCAATATTACTTTTTATTTCTTATTTTCATTCACAATTTCATACTTTTACTCTCGTTCAGCGATTGATATTTTTATTATTTATTATTTCGTGATTCTAATAGCCATGTCTCATTTTGTTTATTTTTCCTAATTATTTCTATTTGCAGAGCTTCGCTATTAATTACACGAAAAGAAAGTTAAACACACTTTTAAGCAAACGGTACCGAATACAAACGTTGTTACACCGTTTAATGTTTCACCTCGCACGCGCGAACTGAACAAAATCCGAAAGCAGCAAAGTTGCAGCGATTGCAACTGCACTTGCGCATTTTTAATTCGTTATCGTTACCACGACCGCATCGTAACGTCTATTGCTCGTCGTTTTGTCTCGCGACGCCTCGTTTCATTAAAAGATAAAACCTCGCGTCGTTGTCTTCCCGTAGCGAAATATCCTGCATAAACGTACCATAAATGTTCGAAATTCGTGATATCCTCGTTGGTAGAATTGGAAAACTATTTCGAAGCGTGCTCGAACCTATAAAATGCAAAATCCATAACCTCAGCAGGCGCTAATTATTTTTCTTGCGAAGAACAGAGATGTTCAAAGTGATATCAACTTGTAACCAAATTATTAATTACACGTGTTAAAGACATACAGATTTTAAAATTAAGAAGACAAGAAATTTTTTACGTAGATAAAATTATTTTACCAAAAGGAAAACATTATGGTTTCTCTGTTAAAATTACGAATAAAGCGAATGTCATAGAAGTATCGATTATTTCTTGGTGTCGCAATAAAAAAAATGACAATCGTAGATTTGAAAATCACTGCATAACATACAAAATTAAAACAGTTCATCAGGGTTTGCTAATAGTACTAATTACGAACGCGACAAAGGTATTAGGTGAAATTGTGGAGAATCGTATTCCAGGGACCAACGGACAAACAACCCCCGTTGGTGGCTCTAATTCATTAACCCCGTTTCTTTGGTAACTTTTTCCCCGTGGCCAATCGACGAGTCGGGGCTTCGTCATCGCGCCAATTACCTTAATATGAAAATTGCTGTCGCCGATGTGCTGTCTACCGCGGTAGATCCTGTGGTTAACGTGTTATTAATTATTTCCCACATCGCAACGCTTTCCTTTCGCTCTTTTTTATTCGTCAGTCGTGGTGCCTGCGCGTTCACTTGCTTTATCTCGTATGCACGTTAACCTTATTTCCAGCGCATTTTAACGAGCCACGGAATAAAGAGCCCTCTGCCGAGTTTCTTTGGCTCTTATCCTTCGTTCGCGAGCAACATTTCTAGAACAATTTTCATTTTTCTATTCCGGAAGCGATCTTTTCTTGAATGAAAAAAGTGGCTTCTTATACAAGAGAATCTGGATGATTTACGCCTTTTAGCGTTCGTTTTTCTTTACGCGAAGAAAATATCTAGGTACTTGTGTTCAGCAAATTCTGAAATACTTCTTGAATCTTTTTATTCTCAAAAACTTCTTGAACTATTAACGCGTCTTTATTTTCGTCAAAATTTCTTTTTCCTACTCCTGAAACGAGTGTCTCTCTTCAATTTGGTAACAAACGTATTCCACGTTTTCTATAATATATTATTTGGGGGCGTTTCACGCTTCCACGTGGCATGTTGCTCTTCCCGCTCGCTTTGTTGGTTCTCACCTCGCGTAAGTGCTTCGCAAATGGGTACTTTCTGTGCTTTACGATTTACTTAGCCGAGTAATCAATTGACCGCTCGAGGCAACCGCCCCCGCACCACGCCGTTACGCTACCAACGCTCTCTTCTCGCAATTCTCCAGACGTCCGTTCTCTGTTCCTCGAACGAAGAGGCTAACTAGCACGGCGCAAAGGTGCAGGTCGTATCTGGCATGATTCACAGCCGGCAAAATGGCCTTGAGCGACCAATTACCTTTGGCGCAGCAACGATCAATTTTACCTGTGTCCAACAAAATCCCGTTTCTCGGCGACTGGCTGGCTAGCACCGAAATGCAGGTAGTTTGTGAACAACTGGTCGAGATCTGCAGAGTCAATCGTAACTTTAACAAAACACGTTACCGGTTTTGTATAATTACCGTGTATGTATCAAAGTGGACCGAAACGTGTGATAGTTTATCTTGCTTTCGTGTTGTTGTAAATGTTACTTGATTATTATTATTTAATAATACTGGCGTTAGAGAATGTGAATTGGTATGCTAACGCAAAGAGTTATATTATTAGAATTTTTGATTCGTTAAGTTAATACTGGAAAATTTAACTTTATATTTAATTACTTTTATCGTGGTAAATTATAATTATACCTTGCTTCACTTCTAAAGATCCAAGACGGAGTTTCGCATCAATAGAATACACAGGATGTTAGCAAAATCTGCTATCAACGGCCAAAAGTGTTTCTACGCTTTGAAATGAATGGAAAATGCAGAATAAAATTTACTGGAACGCGTCCTCATTTTCGAGAAGATAGATTTTAAATATTTATTATTGAGCACGGGGTTTGATCAAGTGGCTGACTTTTACCTGTTAATTCTACTTCGTTGGTACAACATAAATGTTGCCGAAAATATGGCATATAGGGGATGTTGGCAGATTGAAGTGCAATTTCATGTAAAATTTAAATGAAAATGTAGAATAGAATTTGTTAGGTGTGTGTCTTCGTTTTCGAGAAAATTGATTTTAAAAATTCATGGAACTCTCGAGGCTGAACAGGACTGCCTAGCGTGTCCGACTATTACTCGATAATTTCACTTATATTGTCATCCGAAGATATTCCATTCATTCTGTCCATTTGCTGGTAGTAAAAAATTAAAACAAACAGCGTGAAAGCATCATCGATGTTTACAAGCAATTGAATAAGTAGAAATAGTGTGCAACGGTCAGACACGTTAGCTATCTGTAACTTCCAACGCGCCCAACGAATATTTAAAATTAATTTTTCTTTGAAACGAAGCCTCCTTTACGAAAAATGTATCGCAAATTTTCGGTGTATTTTGATATAAAAAAATCGTCCTATAATTAGATTGTCACGCCATTCTTTATTTTATTTTAAAATTAATAGTCTTCTCGGGTCGATTACATTAATTGTTATAAAGAGTTGAGCGTGAAATTACTACGAAATGCTGAGAGGCTATTGTCAATAAAGGAGCAGAGATTTCCAGATTAAATGTTTTTTCGCCTTTAATTACGGTGCGCGCTACAATGAAATTGTTCCCGATTGTTTACGCGTCAAACTTTTTAATTACTCGCGTATTTAAGGCCAGTAACACACAAACTAGTATTTCAGATTTATTAATAGGCGGAGAATAGAAAAGGATGCTTATAACACGATTATTGAAAAATTAATATTTAGAAAGCTTTCATCGTTAATTAAACGGCTGCCTAATAACAACACTGTTGGGCTGAAGGTAATTTACGCGTAGTAAATATCAATAATTTATCGGACACGTTTTAGCACGCGGAAAATTGCTTCCAAATCCGCTGAAACAATATTACAGTTACCAAAAAGTGCCCGAAAATTAACCAACATAATATCGAAACATTACGATACAATCATTAACGAGCAGTATCGTCAAACAAATTAAGCGATACCCGTTCAAACGTATATTCATACTAAATCATTTTTCCACGCATCAGTTTTCTTTATTTTTATTCTCTGGTGTAACAAGGTTCACCGTTCTGACTTCATTTTTACATTTCTCTTTTCTTTACTTTAGTATTATTTTATATTTCTGTGAGTTCGGGTAATTCTCGACACAGAACGTTTCGAATTACGCAGTCGTTTACATTTTCGCGACACTCGACGTTACGCTGACATTCTGAAAAAAAAAAAGAAAAAAAAAGAAAGGAAACGACAAAAAAAGGAGTCCTGAAATTGTACGTCGCCATATACTTCGAGTTCCAGTGAACGCGAATTCAAAGGGAACGGAGCATGATAATGAAAAATATCGCGAGGGAAAAAGTGAAATATTAAAATACGCGCGTGCATTTGTCAAGGAAATTTAAATGGCAGCAATCCCCCTGCCCCCCGACCCGCGCCCCACTCTCCGTCCCTTTCTTTTCGCTGCGCTTTTTTTTTTTTCTCTTTCGTGAAACGGTACGCGAAATAAAGAGCCAGTTCGATACTGGTCCTGAAGAAAAGAGCTGCGCGTACACTCTGTTGCTCAAAAGTTTGCAGAGCCCTTCGATCATCAGAGAAACAACGACTCTCATGCATACGTATTCGTTACTTTCAATGTTTTACTCTTTTATGTTGAAAGTGCATTACTTGAGTACAATACGAGATGAAAATTGCACGAATGTATTGAAAATAACGTGAGAGGTTTTAAAGCTTCCCTTTTTCAAGGAAACATAAACTTTTGAATGTAACAGTCGGTATCGAGAAAAAATGGAGAATTAGAATTAAACATTTGTTAATGCTGTTATAGTTAGAGACGTAGAATTAATCGCTATCAACAATTTTTTTTTTAATATTTCAATGTTAAGAAAATATATTCCGTCTCGCTTTTTATTGTAATTAATTTAATGCTTCACTCGCAATACTTTAATCATAAGGCAGAATACTCTGTTCGAGTACGTTACATCGACAAAGTGTGAACGACAAATCATTTTTTATTTCAAAGATGAAAGTGTTCAAAACTTTTGGCGCACTCTGTACACGGTTTTTTTTTCGAATATTGTCGCAAGTTTCATTTTGCGCCAGGAACGCAAGATTTTCGACCTATTGCCAAACCTTTGGGAAAATATAACTTCCGAGGTTTTCTTCCGTGGGATATTATTATTTGTTTAACCATACAGACATCGGCGGGATAATCGATACCTTTCGGTGGATGGTTGAAGGAATCTTCCTCCGTCGGTGGAAAATTAAACGTTATTTATACGGAATTGTTTGCGCTAGTGCTGAGAAACCCATCGAGCCAGCTCAGTGTTTTCCTGGTACTGTTGTCGCAGCGATGCGAGTTCTGGCGTGTAAACACTATGGAACAGCATTTCTCGTGCTTTTGGAACACTAGAACGCGACGTAGGAAGTATTAGTTAAGAAAGTACAATAATATAAATCCATGAACCAGGGTCGAAATGAAATTCTTAATACACCATTGTAAGTTTTCTAAAAGTAATTATTTGCTCTATTCTGTCAACTAGGAAGAGCAACGATAGCTTTCCTTACCATCTTTTCTTACACTTTTCATGTAAATAGAGTTGGGCAAATTCGTAGCATGAGTATTGTAATATATATAAGAATTGAAAACGTAGAACAGAAAATTCGAAAGAAAATTTCTGGAAGCCTGTGGCTAAAAAATGAAAAGAATATATTTGAATATATATATTTGAAATGTTTCTTGTGTACATTTCCTTCGTCAATAACTATTCTATTATTGCGTTGCGTTCGTTACGATTCAAATCAACTTATCGTTCGAATCAATTCGAATGATAACAAACTCATTCCGAACCGTACAGATGCAAAAAAAAGTGTCGAACAAAGGAAACCAGATAGGAAAACTAGGCGCCACGATATCCCGAGCAATCTTGGGCCAAGTATTACCAAACTTTCTCTACGTAAATAATCGGAGTTTCCGTCTCGCGAATTTCGAGCTCCGAACGTCGGCGATTACACTAGGATACAGAGGTCTGTTACAACTCTCCGTCGTCGAATTTAAACAAGACCCAACCGGTACTGAAATAATACCGTCTCCCGCGGTTTCCGAGGTTTTGATGGATCCAGTAGCTTCCAGCGCACGCTTTCCGCTCGATATCACCCCGTCTTCCCGTTTGTCGACGCTCGTCGAAACTTCGTGTGTGAATAGTCGAATATTGGCCAGATATCTTAATGAAGAGTTACGTCGCTTTGAATCTAATAGCTGCTGTCGTCGCGAACCACGTCATACCTTTGGAAAGTTCGATAAGACGTTTAACGCTAGAGTCGGGGGTGGGTTAAGAACTGTTTTAGCTTCTGCTTAGCTTTAGCGTTTCGATTGACAAATTTTCATTTGGGTGGCAGCCCTAAGAAATAATTCTGAATGTTAAATAAACGAAAACAGTCGTTTGTACGAGTTAAAAGTGTTAGGAATTAGGATTAAATTAATATTTGTTGGTAGTGGAAACACGATCGAGGAGAAAGATTTTTCTGAAATGTTATAGAAATTTTCTCTTGCTTTGTTTTAAAGTTGTATTTTTAGAGAGAATTACTCTCTATAGAGAGAGAGTAAATTATACCGGTTTAATTTCAATTAACAGTCACGAATTAAAGTCGCAAATTTTATTGATAATAAATCTTTTCCGTCCCCACGGTTCCACTTTGATAATCGATCTACCAGCGACCCCAATTGTCTCTTTTATTATCGACTAATAAGTACCCGATCGATTAATTAGGTCGATTACATTGTTCATGCGAGGCATTGAAAAGGAACGATCGTAAATCTATTTGAAAAACGCAACGAATTTTAACCGGTCGCGGTTTTAACGGCCAGGAGGTAAATGATGTCCGCCTCCCTCGCGGGGAGAGTAAATCGCGATTGCCTGCGATCAATAAAAGACATAAATCTTGGCTAATACGTAATTACTATGTTAATGTGTACGTTAATAATCGTGTAACTGAATCTACCTTTCAATTGCCCCTGTACCATTCGTCGTGCGATTCGAATGCCAAACAAAAATACGCGAAATTGTTCTGTGCTCCGCAACCTGTACTTAATTGCTAACTTTGTATCGATATTGCTAACGCTTCTATTATCATTCGATTGGCGAATCTGTAGCTGTGATTACGATTGTTTTCAAATATTTACTTTCCATTCGCCCAATTCGCTTTTACAGATTGGATTTCATTCGTCGAAATAATCGCATTCAAAATAACTTCGTTCAACATAATTCTAGTAAACGTCAAATATATTTTAGGCAAAATTTTGAGGACTGTGTATATACATGTATATATTTTCAATCAAAGACTGGATATAAACGAGAATCGAAACGTGATAAATTGGTAATGCGTTATTAGTCGTCGTACCTTTTTGTTGACGAGACTATGAACAGGAAAAAATAAGTCTATGCTTGTTCTATACATAAATAACCATGTATATTTATTTACTTATTGCAGAACACCTATAGGATTATTTGTTCCTGTTTATATTCTCATGAACAAAATTAAAACGTGAAAAATTAAAATTAAATATTAACATCAATATTATATATATATATATATATATATATATATATATGTATATATATATATATATATATATCATGTCTTACATTATTTTATATGTATGTCTTACATATTCTTACACATTACATAATGTCGATTTTTGCTGAAACAACCATAATCTCAAAGGAATATTTCTTTTGCCGGGCAATTTAGAAGACGAGTCCGCACGCTCCTACTCGTCAGAATTGCCACAGAGCCTCTATGAGCAGCTAACGAAGCGACTTTGAAATTGCTCCGAAAAATGGCAGCTCGTTTCTCGGCGTATTATTGAAAACCGATGGATATCGATATAATGATCTCGCCGAGGAATTTACGTTTCGTTCACCCGGATTAAATATAAAAATACCGAAGCCGTTAGATATCGCTCCGTGGAATCGAAGCGCTCGCGTTGCCATGGGGTCGAAGTAACGAAAATGTTTTTCCGTTTTGTTTTTTGCAGGTCGAATTCATTACGGAGAAGGTGAAAATGGAGTTGATCGAGGCGGCCATAAGCGGAGCCGCGGGCGCTGCCGCTTGGGGCAAAATAGATTTCCACTGTCGGGAGCCAAGAGCCTCGGACCCAATCACTTTCACCACGAGGGACTCTCATCTCGTGAGTATAACCGCTATATTATTCCATTATGAAAAATAGGAAACCTCTTCGACCCGCCGCGAAATAGCCTGTAGCCCTGCTGAACTTGACATCCGTTTGATCGCGAGAACCTTGAGGACGTTGTCGCCCTCTTCCTCTTTTACAGCGTTAATGGATGGCGGACAGGTTTCAACCCTTTGTCCCAGGCCGCTTGTTACTCTTGTTATAGTGGATGGGGTGTTTCATTAAACTTGGCAATATAGTTGACGGGGATGTCTTTGTCAATAGACGGTGTTTGGTAAAAATAGGCAAGGGCGGGCTTGCATGCATACAGATTAAAGAGAGACGATTACTTTATTTTACGTGTTGCAATAGAATGTTTCGAATTAATGTATGTGAAAGGAATTGACTAAAATTGATAAGTAGATTTAATAGGAAATTTGCTGAAACTAATGTTTAAATATACCGAGGAATTGATTGAAATTATTATGTATGTGTGTTTATTATAAATCTTGTTAACGTATATGAATTTATTAAAAGATATACAGCTTGATCATTCCTTATTTTTCATTGTTAATGATTGAACGTAAAAAGAATATGAATTTACTAGAGTATTTACTTGAATAAAAATGTATATCGTAGTTGTAAACCAAACTATTGAAACATAAACTACACAATAGTTTGCAGAGCGCAAACGGAGTGCAAAATTCCTTTAATAATTAATTCCTCTAATAATTACAGGAATTAGAGAAGTATTTAAAGAGTAAGAGTAAAGAGTAAGTGTGTAAGAGTATTTTCCAGTGGTAGTTTTATAAATACAGTGAAATATCGATTGATGAGAACGTTGATTAACCAAATATTAGTTATTCGGATGGCTGGTTATTGGAAAAAGGGATGAATTAAATGCGCCATATTTAAACCGCAAACAAATATAGTTTAAAACTGTTCAAACGTCGAAATTAGGGTGTGCGTCATACGCAAACAATATTGCTCCCCCTGTAATGGATCGCAGTTTCTGCTCGAATGTTCAAATTTCGAATCTCGTATATTCGCATATTTTAAAATATAAAAATTCAACATGGCGGACCCAATATGGCGTAACAAAATATAAAAAGTGACTCGATTTGAACGAAACTCGATATTCCGGGGTTTGTGAGGTCGCTCTATTATGAATCTGATCTTGAAATGTAAAAATTCAACATGGCGGATCCAATATGGCGTAACAAAATATAAAAAGTGACTCGATTTGAACGAAACTCGATATTCCGGGGTTTGCGAGGTCGCTAATTATGAATCTGATCTTGAAATGTAAAAATTCAACATGGCGGATCCAATATGGCGTAGCAAAATATAAAAAGTGACTCGATTTGGACGAAACTCGATATTCCGGGGTTTGCGAGGTCGCTAATTATGAATCTAATCTTGAAATGTATAAACTTGAAAATGTCAAACATTTGTCGATATTCTACACCCATTAAATACTTCCAAACAGCTGAAGGTAATCATTAAGAAGCATCTCCTTGTTAATACGTTCACTTACTGCAAAGTTTCGTGCATTTCAAGGAATATGTTTGAGGAACTCTGAATAAGGCCACGCTACGTGTGGCGAGCCGCTCTTTTAGGAGACACCGAAACATCGTCGTTACCATTGCAAATCCTTGTTACACTGTCCATCGTGGCGCAAAGGTGGGTGACGAGGGTGGGTGGAAAGGGCGTATAGCGCGAACTAGGATAGCTAGGTTGCTTAGGTGGGCGGATATATGTTCGCTCAAAGTTGTTTACGAGCGTGACCGTTCACGGATTATGCTCACCATCGGCAACTCTTATACGCCTAGCGAATGGTGCTTCCTGTATCAGCTTCTCTGCAGTGTCATTGCGCGACGATGATCTCACTCCTTCATTGATCACACACCTAATTCCTGGGTTAGTCGATAGCAAAACCTCGAACGTACCTTAGGGGTTCTCAAATATTTTGACGGAGTTTACTGCAGACAGTATTTTGTTATTATTCGTAACAATTCCATATTATTTTAGTATTCTGAATAATTCCCCTAGAATAATTATTTGAAAATTGTGAAAAATTAAATATCGCGTGAATGTGCCTCTTTAGATTAAAACGTAAATATGTGGAGTAGAAGATGAACGTAACGGAAATAAAGACGTAAAGATGAAGAAAAGATGTAATGTTAGTCGTGTAATGATTTGAAACCGATAAACGATCGTTGAAATCGAAATGACGGATGTATTTCACTTTTTTTCTTTTTTTCTTCTGGAGTAACGTACAACTACGTGCGCGAATTAATTTGAATATAAATTCAGCGTGAATACTGGCACGAGTAAATGAATTTCAGTTAACTTAATTGCGGAATGTTGGTTTCCTCTGTATCGATGCCGTCCGCGTTATTCGATTACTTTGTAGCGACTGCTGAATCGAATGGGGCAAACTTTAGGGACTGCAAATTACTTTTGTCAAATATTTTTACTCGTTAACAGGATTACCACGATACCACACTCGGTATTACTTACTCGTAATTCTATTTAATGTCGCGGAGCAGAGAAGAATTACTTTCACTCCGACGACTCATTAACCTAATTCAGAGCTGGTCAAATTTATCATCGAGCGTCACAAGATCCAGCAGTTTCAGTTTGTGCAATTTTTGTAGCTTTTGAATTTAATAATTGTTTCATTTTTGCACGGTACATAATAGCAATAAAAATTGGGGTGTTCCAAATAATAATTCTGTCAAAGTGGCAGTCAAAGACGAGATAGAGAGAACAACTACTCCTATCAAAGAAAAGGTCAACAGTCACACGTATCATCTTATCCATAGCCTAAACATCCTCTTGGCACACTTCATCCTAGGATTAACATATCTCCTATAATTGAAAAATGGTCTCGAAGGATCCCGATAGTTGAGTTCCTCAAAAATAGACCCAAGTCTACTAAACGTCCTAAAATTCAAAATTGGAATCTCGAGAGACCCCAAGCACTAAACATCCCAAGTTCAATACACGTTCTAAAAAATTGTCCTGCCATGTCGACAGACAAAAACGAAACAAAAGACAAGTGCCACCGGCAAAAGAGTGATCACCCACGGTCACAGCTGTCACGCCACCCGTAATAATGGCCCATGCTTCGTTTCAAACGTCCGCCGTAACCCTTTCAGCCGAGTCCTGTATACGACGGTAATAAAATCTGCCAAGAAAACGGTATGCCGGGTCGGGACGCACCGAATTCAATTTCGCGGCGGCCTGAATACATTCGGGAAAGTGCCAAAAGTCCGGCGCATCTTGCTGAGGCCGGGCTTGCATGTCGGTGCACGTGTGCGCCTCCGCGACAACGCATACGTTATTCGTCTGAATCGTCCGCGCACCCTGGAAATCCTGCGGGATATGCGAAGATGCGGCGTCATCTACCTAAGCGGATCATACGTCTCGCGTGTGCTCATCGACGCACCTCCGCGCTTGCCCGCATGACGCTGATATACCGTTTGATGCGAGGACTGTGTAGAACTTGTGTGCTCGATTCTGCGAAGGACCATTTGTAGGAACTTGGAGAAGTTCGTGACTGAACTTCGATATACAGGGTGGCCCAGAATTAATAGATATAAAACAATTTACTCAAACTCCGAGTATCGGTCCATTAGTTTCTCGAACATTGGAATCCCAATAAAAATCCAAATTTCAAAATAAAATACACTCTTTCTCAGCTTCCGCGTCGCCGTTCGGTTGAGCGAAATTAAACAGTATTTTTTGAACGCATCGAGTACTGTTTTATTTGTACTTCAAATGCATACTTTCGAAAATGAAAGAGTCTTCGTTAGAATTTCTCCCTCGCTCTTAAAACAGAATTCTTATCCGTCCATTCCCGTGGCGTGTCGACAAAAATACGCTAAACAAGGAAATACATGTTTGAAACGAGACACTAGAATAATTTGCGCAGGAGAATCGCTTTGAACGCGGATCCAGTTCCCCAGCATTTCGTTTTGCCGGGATAAAACTATTCCTGGGGGAGAATTACGCCGGTAGAACCGACCAAAAGAGAGTACCTGAATTCCTCGGTTACTTTTTAAGGAAATCTTGTCTGAAACGAGTTTACATAAATTATATAATATGACGACAAGAGTGACTTGCTCGCCGCCACGGAAACCTCTTTGAAACGTATTCTCATGTTTATTTTATTTTACACTCCCTTGTGCCGTGCGAGGGGATGAATCTGGTAAGATCCGCGACGATATCAAATAGGTTAACCGGAGAATTTAAAATTTGCTTGACGAAAGTACAGAGCTCCTGAATAACTATGAAAAAGGAACAAGTCCGTTAGTCTTGCTAGAACATATATCTTTTCTTTCATTAGCATCTCGTAAATTATTAGAAATTATTTTGTACTGTAACTGAACTTCGCATAGACAGACTCATACAGAAGACCCTGAACTATGAACGAAAACGTAGAAATTTGAATTTAATGTCTGTTCGAAAAAGAATCGCAGCAGAGGTCGAAAGCTTTTAGATTGCGTTTTAATTAGACAACTTTATTATTTTTTTTACTACGGTTACTATTTCAGATATTTAAATTCTGCAAAAGGGAAGATATTCGTACTTATACGCTGCGTCTCGTATATTTTTTCCAAGGTATTTTCTTAATTATCAAGGGTGGAGAATAAATAATTCTGTGTCGCTGCGAGCGACACCTGTCAAAAAAATCAGGAATGATGATCGGTTATTTAAGGTTATTGAGACGTTTAAAAGTTTCAGAACGGAGTCCTGGAACATGGTTGAATAATTAAAAAGAAACAAAAATCCCACGCGTTACGCCCCGTTAGATCCTGCTGGACCCTTTGTGCAGTTACGGCAATTGCGCGTTGCGAAAGCACTCGAAAAATGGTTGGCAGTTTCAGTTAGCGCTCGTTTCGGACGAGCAACCGAATCCGAAGGCACGCGATTCGATTAATTAAGGAAATCTACATATATCCGTCGGCTGGCGATCGTGGTCGCGAGTTCATACGTTGTTCCGATGTAAC